ACACCCCGGCTTATCATGTAGCGGTAGCTTTCGGAAAGGTGGAAAACATATATTTAATACTTGCGCCGGGTATTTAATGTTCGGCTCCGCCCGAACTTAGACTTTCTTACTTGTTTTATTTCAGACGAATGACAAATTATCTTTTAATGAATATGTGAGTAGTCCACTTGGAAACAGCGTTATTTGATTTTATAAAAGTAAACCATAAATTAAAAAAAACGTCTACGACAACAAGTAAAATCCGAACTGTATCTTTTTTTATTACCTGAAAATTTGGATAAACAAGAGCCTAATACCATTAAAAAAAATAAAATTGCAGCACGGTAGATTTGCAAATTTTATATTTAAAAATTTAATATTGCAAGTTTTGAAACAGTAACTTTTACATAGCTAGCTTTTTTTAGCTTTTCGCGTTCTCTCCTCTCGGAAGACTGGTTTGCTTCTTTTTTGCGACCTCTTCCACTAGGCACCGAAACTACCACGTTTTCTTGCAGTTTTCTAAGTTCATANATATGTGAGTAGTCCACTTGGAAACAGCGTTATTTGATTTTATAAAAGTAAACCATAAATTAAAAAAAACGTCTACGACAACAAGTAAAATCCGAACTGTATCTTTTTTTATTACCTGAAAATTTGGATAAACAAGAGCCTAATACCATTAAAAAAAATAAAATTGCAGCACGGTAGATTTGCAAATTTTATATTTAAAAATTTAATATTGCAAGTTTTGAAACAGTAACTTTTACATAGCTAGCTTTTTTTAGCTTTTCGCGTTCTCTCCTCTCGGAAGACTGGTTTGCTTCTTTTTTGCGACCTCTTCCACTAGGCACCGAAACTACCACGTTTTCTTGCAGCTTTCTAAGTTCATACGAAGAGGAGACATTTGAAAGTGTATAAACAAGTATTATAGCGACTTTTGCAAGAGTAGTTAACATTTCATGCTATTTTTTTCAGAATATATAAAAATTTTTCACTCTGCTGTTAGTGGACATGAAACCCACCAAAAACTAAAAATCTAAAAAAAAATTACATAGCGCACCACAGTGGTTCGGATATCAGATCTAGCTGGACGAAAGTCAAAATTTTTTAGTTTTTAAAATACTTAATAGTACTTGGAATGCATTCCTGACAATACATTCAAAT